CTCACCACAGACTCACCACACACACACACACTCACCACACACTCACCACACTCACCACAGACTCACCACAGAGACTCACCACACACACAGACTCACCACACACACACACACACTCACCACACTCACCACACACTCACCACACTCACCACACACACTCACCACACACTCACCACACTCACCACACACTCACCACAGAGACTCACCACACACTCACCACAGACTCACCACAGACTCACCACACTCACCACACTCACCACACTCACCACAGACTCACCACAGACTCACCACAGAGACTCACCACACTCACCACAGACTCACCACAGACTCACCACACACTCACCACACTCACCACACACACTCACCACACACTCACCACACTCACCACACACTCACCACACTCACCACACTCACCACACACAGACTCACCACAGAGACTCACCACACACAGACTCACCACACACACACACACTCACCACACACACACACACTCACCACACACACTCACCACACACTCACCACAGACTCACCACAGAGACTCACCACACACACACACTCACCACACTCACCACAGACTCACCACAGACTCACCACACACACTCACCACACACTCACCACACTCACCACAGACTCACCACAGAGACTCACCACACACACACACAGACTCACCACAGACTCACCACACACACAAACAGACTCACCACACACACACACACTCACCACACACACACACACACTCACCACACACACACACACTCACCACACACACACACTCACCACACACACTCACCACACACTCACCACACTCACCACACACTCACCACAGACTCACCACAGACTCACCACAGACTCACCACAGAGACTCACCACACACACACACACAGACTCACCACAGACTCACCACAGACTCACCACACTCACCACACTCACCACACTCACCACAGACTCACCACAGAGACTCACCACAGACTCACCACAGAGACTCACCACAATCACCACAGACTCACCACACTCACCACAGACTCACCACAGAGACTCACCACACACACACACAGACTCACCACACTCACCACACTCACCACACACACTCACCACACTCACCACAGACTCACCACAGACTCACCACAGACTCACCACAGACTCACCACAGACACTCACCACACTCACCACACTCACCACACTCACCACAGACTCACCACACACACACACACTCACCACACACTCACCACACTCACCACAGACTCACCACAGAGACTCACCACACACACAGACTCACCACACACACACACACACTCACCACACTCACCACACACTCACCACACTCACCACACACACTCACCACACACACACACACTCACCACACACTCACCACAGAGACTCACCACACACTCACCACAGACTCACCACAGACTCACCACACACACTCACCACACTCACCACACACACTCACCACACTCACCACACACACTCACCACACTCACCACACACACTCACCACACTCACCACACTCACCACAGACTCACCACAGAGACTCACTACACTCACCACAGAGACTCACCACAGAGACTCACCACAGAGACTCACCACAGAGACTCACCACACTCACCACACACTCACCACACTCACCACACTCACCACACACACTCACCACAGAGACTCACCACACTCACCACAGACTCACCACAGAGACTCACCACACTCACCACACTCACCACAGAGACTCACCACACACACACACAGACTCACCACACACTCACCACAGACTCACCACAGACACTCACCACACACTCACACACTCACCACACTCACCACAGACTCACCACAGAGACTCACCACACTCACCACACTCACCACACTCACCACACACACTCACCACACGCACACACACTCACCACACACACTCACCACACTCACCACACACTCACCACAGACTCACCACAGAGACTCACCACACTCACCACACACACACACACTCACCACACTCACCACACACTCACCACAGAGACTCACCACACTCACCACACACACACACAGACTCACCACACTCACCACACACTCACCACACTCACCACACACTCACCACACTCACCACACTCACACAGAGACTCACCACACACACACACACACTCACCACACACACTCACCACACACACACACTCACCACACACACACACACTCACCACACACACACCACAGAGACTCACCACACTCACCACACACACTCACCACACACACACACTCACCACACACACACACACTCACCACACTCACCACACTCACCACACACTCACCACACACTCACCACACTCACCACACTCACCACACACACTCACCACACACACACACACTCACCACACTCACCACACACACTCACCACACTCACCACACAGACTCACCACACTCACCACACACACACACCACAGAGACTCACCACACACACCACACTCACCACACTCACCACACTCACCACACTCACCACAGAGACTCACCACACACACACACAGACTCACCACAGACTCACCACAGAGACTCACCACACACACACAGACTCACCACACTCACCACACACTCACCACACTCACCACACACTCACCACACTCACCACACACTCACCACAGAGACTCACCACACTCACCACACACTCACCACACACTCACCACAGAGACTCACCACACACACACACAGACTCACCACACACTCACCACAGAGACTCACCACACACACACACTCACCACACACACTCACCACACTCACCACACACTCACCACACTCACCACAGACTCACCACACTCACCACACTCACCACACACACACACACTCACCACACACTCACCACACACTCACCACACTCACCACAGAGACTCACCACAGACTCACCACACACTCACCACAGACTCACCACAGAGACTCACCACAGACTCACCACACTCACCACACACACACACACTCACCACAGAGACTCACCACACACACACACTCACCACACACACACACACTCACCACACACTCACCACAGAGACTCACCACACACTCACCACACACACAAACAGACTCACCACACTCACCACACACACTCACCACACACACACACTCACCACACACACTCACCACACTCACCACACACACACCACACTCACCACACACTCACCACACTCACCACACTCACCACACACACTCACCACAGAGACTCACCACACACACACACACTCACCACACACTCACCACACTCACCACACTCACCACACACTCACCACAGAGACTCACCACACACACACACTCACCACACACACACACACTCACCACACACTCACCACACACACACACTCACCACAGAGACTCACCACACACTCACCACACACTCACCACAGAGACTCACCACACTCACCACACACTCACCACAGAGACTCACCACACACACTCACCACACACACACAGACTCACCACACAGACTCACCACACACTCACCACAGAGACTCACCACACACTCACCACAGAGACTCACCACACACACTCACCACACACACACACACTCACCACACAGACTCACCACACAGACTCACCACACACACTCACCACACACTCACCACAGAGACTCACCACACTCACCACACTCACCACAGACTCACCACACTCACCACACACACTCACCACACACTCACCACACACACTCACTCACCACACTCACCACACACTCACCACACTCACCACACTCACCACAGAGACTCACCACACACTCACCACAGAGACTCACCACACTCACCACACACACTCACCACAGAGACTCACCACACACACACACACTCACCACACACTCACCACACTCACCACACTCACCACACACTCACCACAGAGACTCACCACACACACACACTCACCACACACACACACACTCACCACACACTCACCACACACACACACTCACCACAGAGACTCACCACACACTCACCACACACTCACCACAGAGACTCACCACACTCACCACACACTCACCACAGAGACTCACCACACACACTCACCACACACACACAGACTCACCACACAGACTCACCACACAGACTCACCACAGAGACTCACCACACACTCACCACAGAGACTCACCACACACACTCACCACACACACACACACTCACCACACAGACTCACCACACAGACTCACCACACACACTCACCACACACTCACCACAGAGACTCACCACACTCACCACACTCACCACAGACTCACCACACTCACCACACACACTCACCACACACACACCACACACACACACTCACCACACTCACCACACACTCACCACACTCACCACACTCACCACAGAGACTCACCACACACTCACCACAGAGACTCACCACACTCACCACACACACTCACCACAGAGACTCACCACACACACACACACTCACCACACACTCACCACACTCACCCCACTCACCACACACTCACCACAGAGACTCACCACACACACACACACACCACACACACACACACTCACCACACACTCACCACACACACACACTCACCACAGAGACTCACCACACACTCACCACACACTCACCACAGAGACTCACCACACTCACCACACACTCACCACAGAGACTCACCACACACACTCACCACACACACACAGACTCACCACACAGACTCACCACACAGACTCACCACAGAGACTCACCACACACTCACCACACTCACCACACACACTCACCACACACACACACACTCACCACACAGACTCACCACACAGACTCACCACACACACTCACCACACACTCACCACAGAGACTCACCACACTCACCACACTCACCACAGACTCACCACACTCACCACACACACTCACCACACACTCACCACACACACTCACTCACCACACTCACCACACACTCACCACACTCACCACACTCACCACAGAGACTCACCACACACTCACCACAGAGACTCACCACACTCACCACACACACTCACCACAGAGACTCACCACACTCCCTCGTGCTGTGCGTCTGTAAGTTGCGTCTGCAGCAGCTGCTGCTGCTGAGCTGGAGGTCTCTGCATCAGCACCAGCGGGGTGGTAGTGGTGGTGAGCAGGAGGGTGGTGGTGAGCAGGAGGCTGGGGGTGGTGAGGAGCGAGGTGAGGAGCGAGGTGAGGACGAGGACGAGGAGGAGGAGGAGGAGGAGGAGAGGCGGAAGCTGGCCAGGCTGCTCCCGGCCCCACCACTCCGGAGAATGATGAAGAGAGTCAGCGTGTACCACCAACCCCGGCCTGGCCTGCAGGCCCTCGTGGAGGTGAGTGTGGTGAGGGTGGTGGTGAGCGTGGTGGTGAGGGTGGTGGTGAGGGTGGTGGTGAGGGTGGTGAGTGTGGTGGTGAGGGTGGTGGTGAGGGTGGTGGTGAGGGTGGTGGTGAGGGTGGTGAGGAGGAGGGTGGTGGTGAGGGTGGTGGTGAGGGTGGTGGTGAGGGTGGTGGTGAGGGTGGTGACTATGATGATGACGATGGTGGTGATGACGATGATGGTGGTGTTGATGATGGTGATGATGGTGATGATGATGGTGATGATGATGGTGGTGATGATGATGGTGGTGGTGGTGATGGTGGCGATGATGATGATGGTGGTGGTGATGATGGTGGTGGTGGTGATGGTGGTGGTGATGGTGGTGATGATGATGGTGGTGGTGATGATGACGATGATGATGGTGATGATGATGATAGCAGTGACACTCAGATGCCTTCACCTAGCAGCTGATAGACCACGGATCTCATCGGCCACTGATTCTCACGACTGTGGTTGTGCTGTATCTCTCTGTGCGTGCAGGACTGGGTCGCTGAAAGGGAGGAGGAACGCCTCTTAAAGGATCGCGGTGATGGCCGTGATGGTGGTGATGGCGGTGATGGTGGTGATGGTGGTGATGGTGATGGTGGTGATGGTGGTGATGGTGGTGATGGTGATGGCGGTGATGGTGGTGATGGTGGTGATGACGGTGATGGTGGTGATGGTGGTGATGGCGGTGATGGCGGTGATGGTGGCGGTGATGGTGGTGATGGTGGTGCTGGTGGTGATGGTGGTGATGGTGGTGATGGCGGTGATGGTGGCGGTGATGGTGGTGATGGTGGTGATGGTGGTGCATTGGCTGCTGATGTGTCCCGTATGAGTCTGTGTGAAAGGTCAGCATCACGGTTACCACAATCATCATCAGCATCATCATCAGCAGCACGGTTACCACAATCATCATCAGCAGCAGCATCATCATCAGCAGCACGGTTACCACAATCATCATCAGCAGCAGCAGCATCATCAGCAGCAGCACTTTGTCCAGTACTATCATCATCATCAGCAGCAAGATCAGCAGCACTTTGTACAGTACTTGCATCATCATCAGCATCATCAGCAGCAGCAGAACGGTTACCGCTAGCATCATCATCAGCAGCATCATCAGCAGTAAGATCAACAGCACGCTGTCCAGTACGAACATCAACATCAGCAGCAGCAGCATCATCAGCAGCAGCACGGCTACCACTATCATCATCACTGTCAGCACCATCATCACTATCAGCATCGTCATCAGCAGCATCATCAGCAGTAAGATCAACACCACGTTGTCCAGTACGAACAACAACAACATCATCAGCAGCAGCAGCATCATCAGCAGCAGCACGGCTACCACTATCATCATCACTGTCAGCACCATCATCACTATCAGCATCATCATCATCAGCAGCACTTTGTCCAGTACTATCATCATCATCAGCAGCAAGATCAGCAGCACTTTGTACAGTACTTGCATCATCATCAGCATCATCAGCAGCAGCACGGCTACCACTATCATCATCACTGTCAGCACCATCATCACTATCAGCATCATCATCACTATCATCATCACTATCAGCATCATCATCAGCAGCACGCTCTCCAGTACTGTCACCAGCGCTATCATCATCAGCACCGTCACTGCCATCAGCAGCAGCAGCAGCACTGGGGGTGATTTCATCAGCACTATCATCATCAGCAGCAGCACTATCATCATCATCATCATCAGCACTATCATCATCATCAACACTGTCATCAGGATCATCAACATTGTCATCAGTAATTTCATCGACATTATCATCATCGTCAGCAGCACGATCGGCACGATCAGCATCATCATCATCAGCGTCATCGCGAGTACCACCGTCACTGTCATCAGCACCATCACCATCATCATCAGCAGCATCATCAGCAGCATCAGCACTCCCAACACTATCGCTGTTCACACCGCATCACTACAGACAGTACTGCCCATTGTGAACCTGTGGTGAGTCTGTGGGTCTCTGTGTGGTGAGTCTGTGGGTCTCTGTGTGGTGAGTCTGTGGGTCTCTGTGTGGTGAGTCTGTGGGTCTCTGTGTGGTGAGTCTGTGGGTCTCTGTGTGGTGAGTCTGTGGGTCTCTGTGTGGTGAGTCTGTGGGTCTCTGTGTGGTGAGTCTGTGGGTCTCTGTGTAGTGAGTCTGTGGGTCTCTGTGTGGTGAGTCTGTGGGTCTCTGTGTGGTGAGTCTGTGGGTCTCTGTGTGGTGAGTCTGTGGGTCTCTGTGTAGTGAGTCTGTGGGTCTCTGTGTGGTGAGTCTGTGGGTCTCTGTGTGGTGAGTCTATGGGTCTCTGTGTGATGAGTCTGTGGGTCTCTGTGTGGTGAGTCTGTGGGTCTCTGTGTGGTGAGTCTGTGGGTCTCTGTGTGGTGAGTCTGTGGGTCTCTGTGTGGTGAGTCTCTGGGTCTCTGTGTGATGAGTCTCTGGGTCTCTGTGTGGTGAGTCTGTGGGTCTCTGTGTGGTGAGTCTGTGGGTCTCTGTGTGGTGAGTCTGTGGGTCTCTGTGTGGTGAGTCTGTGGGTCTCTGTTTGATGAGTCTGTGGCTCTCTGTGTGATGAGTCTGTGGGTCTCTGTGTGGTGAGTCTGTGGGTCTCTGTGTGGTGAGTCTATGGCTCTCTGTGTGATGAGTCTCTGGGTCTCTATGTGGTGAGTTTGTGTGTCTCTGTGTGATGAGTCTGTGGGTCTCTATGTGATGAGTCTGTGTGTCTCTGTGTGGTGAGTCTGTGTGTCTCTGTGTGGTGAGTCTGTGTGTCTCTGTGTGATGAGTCTGTGTGTCTCTGTGTGATGAGTCTGTGTGTCTCTGTGTGGTGAGTCTGTGTGTCTCTGTGTGGTGGGTCTCTGTGTGGTGAGTCTGTGGGTCTCTGTGTGGTGAGTCTGTGGGTCTGTGTGGTGAGTCTGTGGGTCTGTGTGGTGAGTCTGTGGGTCTCTGTGTGGTGAGTCTGTGGGTCTCTGTGTGGTGAGTCTGTGGGTCTCTGTGTGGTGAGTCTGTGGGTCTCTGTGTGGTGAGTCTGTGGGTCTCTGTGTGGTGAGTCTGTGGGTCTCTGTGTGGTGAGTCTATGGCTCTCTGTGTGATGAGTCTCTGGGTCTCTATGTGGTGAGTTTGTGGGTCTCTGTGTGATGAGTCTGTGGGTCTCTGTGTGATGAGTCTGTGGGTCTCTGTGTGGTGAGTCTGTGGGTCTCTGTGTGGTGGGTCTCTGTGTGGTGAGTCTGTGGCTCTCTGTGTGGTGAGTCTGTGGGTCTCTGTGTGGTGAGTCTGTGGGTCTCTGTGTGGTGAGTCTGTGTGTCTCTGTGTGATGAGTCTGTGGGTCTCTATGTGATGAGTCTGTGTGTCTCTGTGTGGTGAGTCTGTGTGTCTCTGTGTGGTGAGTCTGTGTGTCTCTGTGTGATGAGTCTGTGTGTCTCTGTGTGATGAGTCTGTGTGTCTCTGTGTGGTGAGTCTGTGTGTCTCTGTGTGGTGGGTCTCTGTGTGGTGAGTCTGTGGGTCTCTGTGTGGTGAGTCTGTGGGTCTCTGTGTGGTGAGTCTGTGGGTCTCTGTGTGGTGAGTCTATGTGTCTCTGTGTGATGAGTCTGTGGGTCTCTGTGTGGTGAGTCTGTGGGTCTCTGTGTGGTGAGTCTGTGTGTCTCTGTGTGGTGAGTCTGTGGGTCTCTGTGTGGTGAGTCTGTGGGTCTCTGTGTGGTGGGTTCTGTGTGGTGAGTCTGTGGGTCTCTGTGGTGAGTCTGTGTGTCTCTGTGGTGAGTCTGTGGGTCTCTGTGTGGTGAGTATGTGGGTCTCTGTGTGATGAGTCTGTGGGTCTCTGTGTGGTGAGTCTATGGGTCTCTGTGTGGTGAGTCTGTGTGTCTCTGTGTGGTGAGTCTGTGGGTCTCTGTGTGGTGAGTCTGTGGGTCTCTGTGTGGTGAGTCTGTGGGTCTCTGTGTGGTGAGTCTGTGGGTCTCTGTGTGATGAGTCTGTGGGTCTCTGTGTGGTGAGTCTGTGGGTCTCTGTGTGGTGAGTCTGTGGGTCTCTGTGTGGTGAGTCTGTGGGTCTCTGTGTGGTGAGTCTCTGGGTCTCTGTGTGATGAGTCTCTGGGTCTCTGTGTGGTGAGTCTGTGGGTCTCTGTGTGGTGAGTCTGTGGGTCTCTGTGTGGTGAGTCTGTGGGTCTCTGTGTGGTGAGTCTGTGGGTCTCTGTTTGATGAGTCTGTGGCTCTCTGTGTGATGAGTCTGTGGGTCTCTGTGTGGTGAGTCTATGGCTCTCTGTGTGATGAGTCTCTGGGTCTCTATGTGGTGAGTTTGTGGGTCTCTGTGTGATGAGTCTGTGGGTCTCTGTGTGGTGAGTCTGTGGGTCTCTGTGTGGTGGGTCTCTGTGTGGTGAGTCTGTGGCTCTCTGTGTGGTGAGTCTGTGGGTCTCTGTGTGGTGAGTCTATGGGTCTCTGTGTGATGAGTCTGTGGGTCTCTGTGTGGTGAGTCTGTGGGTCTCTGTGTGGTGAGTCTGTGGGTCTCTGTGTGGTGAGTCTGTGTGTCTCTGTGTGGTGAGTCTGTGGGTCTCTGTGTGGTGAGTCTGTGGGTCTCTGTGTGGTGAGTCTCTGGGTCTCTATGAGTGAGTATGTGGGTCTCTGTGTGGTGAGTCTGTGTGTCTCTGTGTGGTGAGTCTGTGTGTCTCTGTGTGGTGAGTCTGTGGGTCTATGTGGTGAGTCTGTGGGTCTCTGTGTGGTGAGTCTGTGTGTCTCTGTGTGGTGAGTCTGTGGGTCTCTGTGTGGTGAGTCTGTGGGTCTCTGTGTGGTGAGTCTGTGTGTCTTTGTGTGGTGAGTCTGTGTGTCTCTGTGTGGTGGGTCTCTGTGTGGTGAGTCTGTGGGTCTCTGTGTGGTGAGTCTGTGGGTCTCTGTGGTGAGTCTATGGCTCTCTGTGTGGTGAGTCTGTGGGTCTCTGTGTGGTGAGTCTGTGTGTCTCTGTGTGGTGAGTCTGTGTGTCTTTGTGTGATGAGTCTGTGTGTCTCTATGAGTGAGTCTGTGTGTCTCTGTGTGATGAGTCTGTGGGTCTCTGTGTGGTGAGTCTGTGTGTCTCTGTGTGATGAGTCTGTGGGTCTCTATGAGTGAGTCTGTGTGTCTCTGTGTATATACCGGCCATGTGTTCGCGTTCCCGCTCACTCTTGTGGCTGTCGATTAAACGCGATCCTGGCTGTTAAAACTATGAACCGGTAAACTGTCGTGTTTTACCCTCACCCACTCAGCCACCCACTCACACACTCAGCCACCTACTCAGCCACCCACTCAGCCACCCACTCAGCCACCCACTCAGCCAGCCACTCAGCCACCCACTCACCCACTCAGCCAGCCACTCAGCCACCCACTCACCCTCTCAGCCACCTACTCAGCCACCCACTCAGCCACCCACTCACCTACTCAGCTACCCCCTCAGCCACCCACTCAGCTACCCACTCACCCACTCACCTACTCAGCCACCCACTCAGCCACCCACTCAGCTACTCAGCCACCCAATCAGCCACCCAATCAGCC